ATTTTCTCATACCCTAAGACATTGCCAATCCGCCCTGCTGTGACATTGAAGCAAAACACAGAGACAGTGGAAAACTTAAGCTAATTTTGCAATCAACATACTTTTAACATAAAACTTTTCAATTAACACTGTAGGTTCTTTCCACACGCCTATTTCTTAATTCACAAATATTCACTATATAAAAACTTCCCTACACATCTCCTTTTAAATATCCTATCCTATCCTAAAGTACAAAAAGTCATAACATTTCCCAAAATAAATCGTCGAATCTCGTCACCTGGCCCTTTTACCTTTGATCGCTATTTAACAAAGAGGATGAATACACAAGGCAATAACGACCATCCAATTATCTAAAGTGCGTAGCCAAGAAGCAAAGATAGCAAGTAAAGATGAACTGTAGCCATTGTATTCAGCTTCTAAACATAATTAAAAAGACGACTACGCGCCTGGGAAATTAAGGATACCTATTTTGGGACTTTTTGGTAAGAAAATTACCATAGTTTTTACCACTCACTGATAATCGAATGCATCTCGAGAACCATTCAATTTGAATTGTGCAAGAATTACTTATAGGTGGTAATTCCCGACCAAACACTCTAGATCTTGTTTGAGACGAATTTCAAATCACAAGAGATTATCAGTTGAAGGTAATAGCATTATAAACAGATTACTGACCCTTAAGTTCCCTAACCTTGTCGTTATCAATATATTGGAAACATTTCCACTATCTTATGGACTTGTCTTCCACAACAAGTTTCAGATAACTTGACCACTCTTCAAAGGGAACCTTTTGCTAAGTCATACAAATCAACAATCAGTATGTTAACAAATCCATTATTAGAATACTTTGTCAAATACGCCATTTTTCCCCAACTCCCTACCTTTAAAAGAGTCCCTTTGCCATCTCATTTGATATGTTGTTAACAATTTGACGATTGTTCGCCATTTCTGCCATTTTCGCCAAAGTCGCCACTTTCAAAAGGGGCCGAGTTGGCCATCTTAATTATTATATTGTTGACAATTTGGCGATTGTTTGCCGTTTCTGCAATTTTCACTAAAATCGCCACCATTTAAAACGGGACCCTTTGCCATCTTATTTGATATGTCGTTGACAATTTGGCGATTAATCGCCATTTCTGCTATTTTCGCCAAAATCGGCAGTTCCAAAAGGGATCCTTTGGCATCTCATTTGATAAGTTGTTAACAATTTGGCGATGAATCGCCATTTCTGCCATTTCGCCAAAATCACCACTTCCAAATAAAAGGGCCCCTTTGCCATCTCGTTTGATGTTCTGTTAAGAATTTGACGTGCCAATTCATCGACCTGCTCCCAGTTTGCTTGTTAGCTCAATTGGTAGAACGCTGCATCGGTATTGCAGTGGTTAAGGGCTGGAATCTCGTACAAGCCTGAATTTTTTCAGGCTTTCTTTTCGCAACTGCAAAAGTTGCGTCTATAACTGCGATGATCTTCTTTCATTAAATTTGGCGATTGCTCGCCATTTCTGCCATTTTCGCCAAAATCGCCACTTTCAAAAGGGCCCCTTTGCCATCTCATTTGAATTTTTGTTAAAAATTTGGCGATTCTTCGCCATTTCTGCCATTTTCGCCCAATATGCCACTTTCAAAAGGCCTTGGCCATCTTTTTTAATATGTCGTTAACAATTTGGCAATTAATTGCCGTCTCTGCAATTTTCGCTAAAATCACCACTTTCAAAAGGGGCCCTTGGTGACAGGTGGCAACACCGGCGATGCCAGACAGGCATCACGAGGGAAGAGCACATTCAGGGCTGCAGTGCGATGTGGAAAGGAAATCGTTTGGAAATGCATTCACTGTGCTGATAATGATTCCATACTCATCGCTGAGACTCGACGGCTTTGAGATTCCAACGTCATTTGATATACCTTCTCAGCGATCAACAGTAGAATACGATAGCCGAGAGAGATTAGAGGACAACCGTAAGTTTCCTTTTTTGTCTTGCACTTGGTGTCTCGATCATTAATCGTTATGGTCAATCAATAATAAATCACAATCACAATCACCATAATAATAATTATTCTTTTCGATTTCTTTTTTCTAATTAATGAACTGTGATTTTGGACGTTTATTCCACAGAAAACAAACGCCTCACCGAGTCTTCAACTGCTAACCACTCCCAAGCCTCGACGTCATTGCTGACCTCTGGGCCTCAGTTCAAACGTCGAACTTTACACAGAACACAAATCCCACTAAAATCAAAACAAGAATTTCCAAGCTTGGTGAATTATAATTTTTTCAATTTATTTCCCTATTTTAAGTAGTAAGGATGATATTTCTTTTCGCTTCAAATCAGGTTCGGCACATGTAAAGTTCGACCGTCTGAATCAGCAGCCGAACTTAATAGTTTGGGTCGACCTAAATAGGTATTAGGTTCGGCACATGTAAAGTTCGACGTTTGAATCGGACCTTACCGTCCTTAAAACCTTTTGTTATTGCTTTGAGTTCCTCGGCGGTGACATGAGTAAAACTTGACAGCGAGTCTGAGGGCACACTGTTTATAAAATCCTGAAACGACTTGGAGGCAGGGGCTACTTCATTGGCCAAATTTGGATAAGTTTTTTTAAATACTTAGTTAGAGTCTCTGATTTGTAAGCCATTTTCATTATAACGTCAACACGTCAAAAGATGTGGTGTATGAAGGTGTCACATGCTCGACATGTTTGTTAAATTTGCGCGCGCGAAGCCAAATGATTGACGTACGTATAGAGATACACTGACAGAGTATACCAGGAGCTGGTGTATCGAAATGAGGTTCACAGGGCGCTGAGGAGTTATTTGTGATGGCAAGCGAAGCGAAAACTTTACAGCCGATCGCACGAGTCGCCTCTGTTTACTCAGTGTAGAATCGACTATGAGCTTACCCTATCAAACCGTCATGCGATAGTGTTACAAACCTAGTAAAATATTACCTAATGCTCGGTGGGAACGAACGTCGCCCGAAGGGCGACGCATTTGGAAAGCAAAGCTTTCCGAGCGAGGCAGGAAGTGCCGAGAAGAAAAATGAGACTTTATTATATGCTATATGTCTCTTTGTTATAAGTTAGCCGATGTTATTCGTCCGCAGTCATTACCTTCAGCGGTTTTCTTGATCATTGGATAATATATGCCAGGTTTATAAGTTGATCGAATGACGGTCTGCTCGATTAGTTTAATCTACAGTATAAACTGATAAAGGCAATGCGTGGTATCAACCGTAATAATGATCGCCTTTTTCCCGAGAAATATACAGTGAAAGACCATATTTCTAAAATTAAACTAGAAAAAGGCGATCATTATTACATCCAAACACGGCACAAGGATCTTTTTTCCCATTACAATCTTATTCTAAGAAAACTTTAAGAAAAAATGTCCCGAAAAGCGCTCGAAAATACAAACGAAATGTGCTCATACCCCCCTGGGCATCCTATAATACTCCTTAAATCAAATTAACTCAATATGGCGGCCGTATCGGTAAAAAGGTCTATTCGGTGTTTCTTGGTGCTGAGGAAACCGTTGTTGGTTCGCTTTTGTATTGTGGTGTGAGTATTGTTCTTTGCATTGTCAATCTTTTGTGTTACGTCATTTGGTGATTGCACCTGTCCGCAACACCACGAAACTACCGTAAAATTCAGTAGGAACATCACATCATCTGTTACTGTGGGTGCAAAACGAAAAGTAAGGTAATAGCCATTATGTTTGTAAACTGTCAGGGAAACGGAATCAAATCAAAGTTGTCGTCGCCTTTATCTTGCTTTGATTCTCTTCCTTGCCCTAAATGGGAATCATTTTCAATCCCCCATCCTTCACTCAATACATTCTGTTCTGATTGCAGTGCTCCCTCGATCCAGCCTTTTATTGGCTGATAAGCTTCACCAACGATGAACAGATCTTTTTCTGTGAAGGGACGCTTAGCCCAGTTTTTGACTTGAGACGCCGAAAACTGTGTTCCTGCGTTCTGTCTGTGCCTGTAGAGAAGATCACAATAATCCCTTTCTCAGAAGCAATAAGTACACATTAAGCAAATGTAAGTAATTTAAGGCCTTAGTTTGTGGTAGTGGACAGCAGCTGTAACAGCAGAGGATTCCCAGAAGCAAAGAAATTAAAGCATCTAGAATAGCTCCAGATGTAATGATCATGTCTTAATAAGCCCATGGAGTTAGCTAGAGTGCAAAGAGGTGTAATAAAGTTTAACAAGGCTGTTTCACGGCTGGCAAGTTCTTATTATTTATATTGCCAGTTACATGTCTGTTGAACTTAACTTTAGCGAATAGATTACTCGCAATTGACTAGGCTGAATTTTAAAACCAAAGTTGTGATAATATTCCAAAGTAAATTTTGCGTACTAGGTCCTTGGTCCAGGCCGGCCACCGGACGATAACATAAACCAGCCAAATGGTGATTGAAAAGGGAGAGCCTAGAAAGTTCAGTTTTCATTTCGTTTAGTTCTTAGTAAATTAAGACTCTATGAATTGAAGTGAGGATCTTTCAACTTTGAGTCACATTTTAAGTAAAGCATCAATGAGTGCAGTAAGTCCGAAAAACCCGATGCAGCGTTCAAGTTAAATATATTGCTCGAGACTTTCCCAGTAGCACTGCACTTTATTAATCAAGTAATGATCAAGAAGGCCATAAAAAGGGAGCTTTATCCGTCCGATTGGTTTCATTAGCGAGCTTTAGCAAAATTCAAGCCGTGGGTTTTAACAAGCAAAAAATTTACTCTGTACGGACTGCACGTGCAAGATGACGCACGCTTTTCGATCGGATTTCTTTGCCGTTCCTGCACGAAATTTCCTGAAGGAATTTTTTTTTGACAAGCGACGACAAATTGACCACTCCAGAAATACTATGACATACCATAATGCTCTTTGTTTGTCACCCCAAAATTTTGCATAAGCATTGTTTTCAGTTTCTCTTGGGGCCATTTTAACTCCCAAGAGAAACTGATGACAAATAACGCTTATGCAAAATTTTGGGGCGACAAACA